TCATTCTATATACTTTTATAAAAGGTGATATGAACTAAGATTAAAAATCATTTAATTCTCTAGCGAAAGTAGAGAGTATCTTGCTAATACTTAGGTCTTGCACCTTACTGACCTCTGAAGTCCTTATAATAGGCACTGAGCATACGGCTGCGTACCTATTGAATTGGCAACAGTCACCATGATTCTAAGGCTCCCCCCCCCTCCTTTTTTTTTTTTGAGACAGGGTCTCACTTTGCCTGCCCGAGAGCTGGAGTGAGCGCCGTGGCATCAGCCCTCGTCACAGCAACCTCAGACTCCTGAGGGGCTCAAGCTCCTCCTGCCTCAGCCTCCTCTCGAGTAGCTGGGGATAAGGCAGTGCCACCGGATGCCCGGCTATTTTTCTATATATTGTTAGTTCGCCAATTAATTTCTTTCGTATTTATAGTAGAGACGGGTCTCGCTCTGCCCAGGCCTGGTTTTAAGAACTCCTTTACCTCGGCATCCGCCCGCTCGGGCCTCCCGAGAGTGCTAGGATTACAGGCGTGAGCTCACCGCGCCCGCCTTATTTTCCCATTTTACAGTGACAAAAAAGCATTATTTTCTGATGTTACGGGGAATGGCCGGGGATCGTATTAGTAGAGTCCCAAGAACATAACATCATCAAAATAACGTGACATTTTGATTAACGAGATTCGGGCTTCGTCGTGTAGAGCACCGAGTACAAGACTAGCTAGTGTGAGTACGTGTCGTAAGATGGATTATCAAGAGGATAGGCGACTAAAACTTGAGGAGAGTGACCCATTAAGAAACTACAAGAGCTGCTCTGACAGTTAACACCCAGTTGCTTAATGCTCACACTCTCAGATACTTTGCATTTCTTGAACTCGGTATAATCTGATCAAAAAATCTGAGAGGCACGCGATCTTCCGGATGGCCGCTAGGCGTCTTGGGGCCCTCAGAACCTCGTCACCGAGTAAAATAAAAAAAAAAAAAAAAAAAAAAAAAAATGAAAAAACAAAAATATAAATAATATTCTTTGAGATAGATAGGGATTCAATGCACAGCTCTCCGTCTAAGTTTTTCCTACGTTTGTTCTATCCTGTCCATAATTTAAGTCTTATGAGCAGGTTTGAGGCAAGGTTACAGATATAGTATTGTTGGCGACAGACAGGATGTGGCTGAACTTGTGGAAAGAGAATGAAAATAAAGAAGGTTGGATTTGAAAATCCCCCGTCCACTTCATGTGACTGGGCTTTTAGATTTCTGAAAACAAAAATACATAAAACAGCCAAACCAATGATGCTACGGGATACTCGGGGTATCAATACTACAATAATAAAGTTAAACGCCCCGGGTGAGACAGGACTTTTCCCGATCCCTGGGTGGACATAAGAAAGCTTCCATGAGGAAGTCTATACAAAAGCATCGAGCAATGTCAAGTCATGATTTACTTTGCTGTGTAATGTACGATCCTAGAGGGGAAATCAAGTCCAGGGAGGTCTAGCATGTTCTATAAGGATACAGTAAGAGACTAATGCCATATGGAGAGTCAAGAGTGAATCAAGTGCCCTAAAGAAAATATGAAAAGAATGGGTTCTTATATGTAGAGACTCATGCGCCAAAGGCAATATATGATCAAAAATATGGACACTGAGGAATTGAGTAAAAAAGCACTTGCTCTCAGGTAGTAAGATTTCACAATGTTAGCTGTTTTTTGTATTTTTTCCAGGTGACACAACACATATTGTATATTACATATTCATCTTAATAACAAGATAAGAAAAAAATGCAAATTATTCATGTTGCATCATTTAGAATGGAAAAAAATGTGCTGCTCTTTACCTGCGTTAGTAAAATAGTCTTACATGAGGTTTTAGATAGTTGATTGATTACAATCATTATGGTATTCGTGCCACACATTTTCTAAAAAGTATTTGCTTAAATAAATGAGGCATATCTCTAAATCGCTCTCCGCCATTTTTTTATTTTTACATAAACATTGATTTATTACCTATTCCCGTCTATCATTTAAAATTAATCTCTCTTTTAAGAAAGATACAGAATATCACCATCGATATAGTGAATTCTGCAATTACTTTATCATTCATATCCTCTGTTCAGCATTCAAAACACTGGGTGCTAACAGGCCACAACTCTATCAGTTGCAATAGTCGGGACCAGAGCTATTAAAAGATCATGATAAACCCAAGACGCTGATAAATGCTATAACAGGAAACTAGAAATTCATTCTGACGCAATAAAATGGCACCATTAAAATTATCTGCATTAATATTATAACAACGATTCTACTAACAAGTTAAAATTTCTATACTAATTACTTCTTGAATTACTTTATAAATCTTGTTTCTCCATATTGAGTAGTGCTTCAGTAACGCCATACTCATGCGTAGATTAGTCGCGTGAATTACTCACTCTTTCGACATCATTGTATATCTATAATAGTCGATAAAGGTGAAAATATTAAAAGCTTCGAGCGCTTGAGTAATAATAATAATACTATTTGCTCAGGTCCCATACATATGGTCTTCATTTACTAGAGAGTCGGACGGAAAAATGTATCTCGGGCAAACACCAAAAGGCATCTTGCTTGTAGATACTCAACATGCCATCATATGTAGCCAAAGTAAAGCAGTGAGAGTTCCTGGAAATAATTCATGAGGCAATTCATCCAGAATCGCACTTTCAATATCTTACTAGAAGATTCAAGAACATCACAATAAATCATAGAATGCCAGAGGGCACAGTGCGCGGTGATCCAGGAAGAATAATTAGAGTAAGATATATAAAAAGCATACAAGGGCCGCGGGTAGGCTCAAAGGCTGAGAATCATACGCCAGTCATTCCAGCAAAACTCTTGAGCCGAGGCAGGAGAGGAGGGTAAAGCAGTGGAAATCGCATCTGAGTACTTATAAAAGGGAACTGAAAAGAGTATGGGGAGATGAGTCAGGAATTGCTCAAGGGAACTGACAAGTGGAAACTGTGTCAGCAACAAGCGAAACAGAAAACACCCGTGAATGGAAAAACGGGCTGAGATCTTGATACATAAAAATAGTAAGAAGTGCTATAATTAGTCTAAGTATTTGTCACAACTAATAACATTATTAAAATTATTTAAAATTTAGAAAATA